ATTGCCGAAACCGGTTTGGCTCAGTGGATAGAGCATCGGCTTGCGGACTGAAAGGTCCCAGGTTCGATTCCGGTCAAGGGCATGTACCTGGGTTGCAGGCACATCCCCAGTAGGAGATGTGCAGGAGGCAGCTGATCGATGTTTCTCTCTCATCGATGTTTCTAACTTTCTATCTCTCTCCCTTCCTCTCTGTAAAAAATTAATAAAATATTTAAAAAAAAGAAAGAAAAGTAAATAATTAATGAAAAATCTTGACCTCCAAATGGCTTCATTAGAGAATTTTACCAAACCCACCAGGAGCAAATAATTCCAATCTTACCCAAAGTTTGGGTGTCGAAGAAGAGGAATATTTTTCATGAAGATTAGCATAACCTGGCAGTTAGCATACTAAGGCCTGGCCAAGGACAATGCAAGCAAAGGAAAGTAGAGGACAGATATTACTCATCACTACGGATGCAAACATTGTAAGCAAACTCTTCGCAGGCTGGACCTTCCAATGTATCAAGATTATATCACGATCAGGTTGGGTTTATCCCAGGAATGCAAAGTTGATTTCACGTTAGAAAATCAATTAATATAACTGACTTCTCTAATAGATTAAAGGAGAAAGTCTTGTGATTATTTTAGTGCATGCAGAACAACTGTTTGATAAAATTAAACATCTATTCATAATAAAAATGTATGTAGTGTGTATACTTTTTATTCTTCAACTGAGGATATGTCCTTATTGACTTTTTTTAGAGAGAGAGGGAAGGGGGAGAGAAGAAGAAAGAGAGAAAGGAAGAGAGAGAGAGGAAGAGAGAGAGAGAGAGAGAGATTACAGAGATAAAGATATATTCCTCTCATAGACTATTTTTAACCCAAACTGGAAACACATTTTACAACCAAAGAATTAATAGTGTTCATGCCAGGCTGTGCATCAAACCTGAAACCCAGGCGTGTGCCCTGCTCAGAATCAAACCCACAACCTTTTGGTGCACAGGACGATGCTCCAGCCAACTGAGCCACCCGACCAGGTCCATAACAAATATTTCTAACAAAAAAAACTTTCCTAAACTAATTTTTTTAATCTTTAAAAATTGTCACAAATATCAGGCTTGGTGAAATATTGAAAGCATTCTCTCTGAGAGCAGGAGAACAGCAAGGATGTCTGCTGTGAACACTCCGTTCCAACAGTGTACCGGATGTCCTAATCAGCACGATAATGTAGAATCTAATGAACAAAATAAACTGACAAACAAAATGGAGCCAGAAGCATGGATACATGGGACAGACCGGCTTATGCCCGAGGGGGAGGGGGCTGGGGGTGGCTGGATAAAGAAGGAGAAGGGACTCCACAAGAACATAGATGCAAAGCCCTTGGACACGGACAATAGTTTGGTGAAGGAAGGGGCTGGTGGGGTGGGTGGGCAAAGGGCCGGGGAAAGGGGGACGCATGCAATTGTGTCAACATTAAAAATGTTTCATAAAAAACCCCAATGGTATAAGGCTTAGAAAAGAAGAGACAAAACTCATTATTTGCATGATATGATTGTGTTAATACATTTAAAAGATTATATAGATAAATTGTTAGGATTCATGAGAGATTTCTGGATACAAGGATATTAAATAGCAAAATACTAGTAAAAACATAAAAACCAGAAAAGGAAATTTAAAGAGATATTTCATTTAGAGCATAGGCACCTGCCTCTTATCATCATTTTCTAGATACTTAGAAAAATCTGCCTTTTGGTGAAAACTGTGATTTAATTCAGATCTCCTCACATTCCCAGGTTATGGCTAAAGGGCCCTGAGTCCCACTCTGTCTTCCTCCTCCATAGGCTGGCGAAGGCACCATAGTCTCAGGCAGATGTCATCACCTGTGTGTGGTTCAGGGCACACGTGTGTCCAGGACATGCTTCATTTGGCCTGTGGCGTGTTTGGGTGGAAGGGGGGAGAGGAGGGCCATCTGTAACACTGTCAACAATTTTTTTAAAATTTTGAATTACTAGCCAATATGAACCATAAAATCTGGATTTCTGTTTTCTCATAAAAAATTAGAAACTCTGACAACAATGGGCGAGTCCCCTGATTTCCGTGTCCTCCCTGGAGCCAGGCTCTGTGCTGGTCGGCCTAGATCGGACTGAGTGGCCCCCACCTGTTTTAAGGGACAAGTGCCCGCTGCCAAAAGCTCTTCATTGGCCAATTTATTTCACTGCCTGCCTGGTTCCTATGGGCATTTGCATTTGCCACCCCAATGCAGGGACCCCAAGTCCAGGAGCTCAGTGCTGTTTGGCTGGGCTCCCTGATGGGGCCCTAAGCAGACTTTCTGGCCTGGAAATGCACTTAGTGACACTTCTGAGCTCTGTCCCTTTCCTTCTGTCATCTCTCCGGAGCCGGACACTAGGTGGCCAGTGGGCACTGCGAGAATACTGGAACAGGGGTCAGTGAGGCACCGTGCTTCCTCCAGATGGCCTTGGAAACTGGGAGACCCCAGTGACCCCAGACTTTCCTGGCAATCTGACAAACCTGACAGATGTGGCTCTTACAAGAGTGGGTGGCTGTGGGCAACGGGGCACCAGCTACTTAAATAGAAGAACTGCTCCTGTAGAGGGCGCACTGGAGCTGAGTTTGGAGAAGAGTCAGGCCATGAGGCTAGTAGGTGGCAGTTTTTGAGGTGACACATGGGGGCTGTGATTGGGGCACTAGGGAGTCAGAGGATGACCTCCATGAGGCGGGAAGAGCTGGGACTCCGGGGTCAAGCAACCTGGCTTTGAAATGCAGGTCTGCTGCTCACCCCCTTGCCCCCTCACCCCTTGGCTGCTGGGAGACTTTGGGTGGTTGAACTGCTCTGCATCTCAGTTGCCCTCAGCTATCCATGAGGATATTAGAAGCAACTCTTGTCTTAGCAGGTTTGGTTCAGCCCATAGAGCGTGGGCCTGTGTATTGAAGGGTCCCGGGTTTGATTCCGGTCAAGGGTACATGCCCGGGTTGCAGGAGGCAGCCCCAATGGGGGTCGTGCAGGAGGCAACCAATCAATGATTCTCTCACTTCATTGATCTCTCTCCCTCTCCCTTCCTCTCTGAAATCAATTAAAAAAAAAAAAGACATACACATGTCTAATAGACATATAAAAAGATGCTCAATGTCACTAATCACCAGAGAAATAAAAATTCAAACCTCAATGAGATATCAACTCACACCTGTCAGAATGGCTATCATCAATACATCAACAAACAATAAGTGTTGGCAAAAATGTGGAGAAAAGGGAACCCTCATGCACTGTTGGTGGGAATGTAGCCACTATGGAAACCAGTATGGAGGGTCCTCAAAAATATTAAAAATGAAACTGCCTTATGGCCCAGCAATTCCACTTTTGGGTATTTATCCAAAGAAATCCAAAACACTAATTCAAAAGAATATATGCACTCCTATGTTCATTGCTGTGTTACTTACCCTGTCACCTGTGGCCTTGTGTTTTTTTTTTTTGTAAACTAGCAAACCCCTTTCCCTTGTTTGTGTTCAGTGTCTATATTATCTGCAGGCTCCTGGAGGATTGGGGCTGGGAACACTGGATGTGGCAGCAGAGAGAACTCTCTGGACCAGAGCTCAGGGCATACGCATTGGAACCCACGCTTGAGTGTGCCCATCTGCACGGTGAAGAGGGGAATAAGTGGGTAATCATGAGGATAATCGTTATGACATAATTATGTAAACGAGCAGTCAATCTGGTTCAGTAGTTTAAAGCGTGGATGATGGGGCGACGCAGACCCAGATAAAAATCCCAGCTCGGCCATTTCTGAGCTTGTGTAAGCTGGGGCCAGTCACGCGTCCTCTCCGTACCCCAAGCTCCTCGTGTGTACAGTGAACATCAAAGTGAGAAAATGCGAGTGCAGGCCTCAGCAAAGGTCCTGGCAGACAGTCATTCGCCAATAAATAATAGCTATTGGCAAGAAGAAAAATAATATACTGTCTCAAGTTCTTTCCCTCTCTGAGTGTCTCAGGACAGGATTCTGACCTCAGAAGAGGCCAGGACCAGACCCAGGCCACACAACCACCAGCAGGGAAGGGAGACAGGGAAGAAGAAAGCAGAGACCAGGGACCGGGGCTTTGCTCTCAGTTGATCTCATCGATGCCTGTCACCAGCCTGGGCAACAGAGGGTTGCACTGCTTTTATGAGAAGGAATGGGTTGAGAGTGTCAGGGACTTGGCTAATGGCACAGACTGCAACTGTGTTCTTCAAAGGGCACCTGTAGGGTGCGCTCTGTAGGCAAGTCAGTGAGGGGTGGGGGGGATGGGTTAAGGTCCTGTGCCCTAGAGAAACCTGGACACGCCTCCCTCCCCTTTCCCAGCGGTGTCACCTCTGGCGGGATTCATAACCTCTCTAAGTCTCAGTGCTCCCTTCTGGGCCATGAGGGTGATAATTATCCAGATGATAATCTCAGAAGGCCATGACTCTGAGCGAATACTTACAAAGCACCTGTAGGCACCCCCGAATGCCTGCCTTTCTTTCATTTCAAAAAAACAGGCGCTCTGCTCTGTCACAGAGAGAGGCCTCTCTCTCTCTCGCTCTCCCTCTCCTCAACCTCTCCAACTGTAAAATGGGGGTGTGGACCCAGAAGTCTCTTCCATAAAGCCCTCTGTGGTCTATGCTGACTTCTTAAAAATAAGCTCTCTCTTCTCTTCCCATTTCTCCTTTTCTGGAAGGAAACGGGAATGTCCATATCTTTACACAGGAAAGTGGCCTTTACACTTATTTCAAGGTAGAGGCACCTGAAACCGGGAGAATTCAAGTGGTCAGGGCTTTCCTGGTCCACTTCCCTGTGCTCGTTCATCCCCAGGCAATTCCCACCAGCTCAGCCTGGTCCGCTGGACTTGACTTCCTGAACTCAGCGTCCACACATCTCCTGCACTGCTCCTCTGCCGTCAGCTAGCTAGACCAACGCTCCAGTCAATGAGGGCATGCGCCCCCCACCCCCCAGAGTGCCCCGGCCACGGTGGCATGGCTTCCGGGCACTCACAATGTTGCCTATCTGGAACATGGTTTCGAAGGTGGGGCTCATGTTGTGGTGCTCCATGGACATGAAGACTGTGTTCACCACGATGCACAAGGTGATGGTGAGCTCCGCAAAGGGGTCCGTCACAATCCTAAACAGAAGCGTCTTGATCTTCAGCCACGTGGGGCAGCACTCCCAGATCAGATACTTCCGAGCCAAGTTGGTCAGGCAGGGCGGGCACCTCTGTTCAGATTCCTCCAGTTCTGCATCACAGGTGTAGTCAATGACAGCTGTCAGCCAGGAGTCACTTCAGACCCCCATCCCCTAGACCCGTGGTCGGCAAACTGCGGCTCCCGAGCCACATGCAGCTCTTTGGCCCCTTGAGTGTGGCTCTTCCACCAAATACCACATGTGGGTGCGCACATACAGTGTGATTGAAACTTCGTGGCCCATGCGCAGAAGTTGGTATTTTGTGGAAGAGCCACACTCAAGGGGCCAAAGAGCCTCATGTGGCCAGCGAGCCGCAGTTTGCCGACCACTGCCCTAGACCTTGTCATTACGAATAACCACTACCTTCAATCTCCACTTCAGCCTCCCTTTCTCCGATTAGTGTTTCCTAGTTTTTGAAATTCCTTCAGTCCAGCAACCCCAATCCAGTCTCTCCCCATCTAGTCCTCCAAACCATGCACCCTACACTTTTTAACTGCTCATCACCTATGTCATGTCTTTACTTCTCAACTTACCTAAGTTAGAGTTTATGTCCTTCCCTCTATTGAGTCCTTTGCAGACACCTGCAATTCCCTTGCCCCTCTCCCCCTTCATTGTACTTATCTGGCAGAACCCCAACTCTGAATAAACCCAATGCAAAGACTATTCCGCAGCTGACCAGCTGACCCTGGATGCAAAAAGTGCATGACTGCCCTAACCGGTTTGGCTCAGTAGATAGAGCGTCGGCCTGAGGACTGAAGGGTCCCAGGTTCGATTCCAGTCAAGGGCATGTACCTTGGTTGGAGGCACATCCCCAGTAGGGGGTGTGCAGGAGGCAACTGATCAATGTTTCTCTCTCATCGATGTTTCTAACTCTCTATCCCTCTTTCTTCCTCTGTGTAAAAAATCAATAAAATATATATTTTTAAAAAGTACATGACCACATTGGCTGGTCCCACTAGTGATTCATGAGTCCCATCTGGTCACTGTCCAAAAATTCTGCCACATTTCTCTATTTCAGTCCATACCTTCAGCCTTCCAGACTGCTATTTCTCACTTCCCCCTCCCTCCTCTCTCCTCCAACCTCCATGTCCCCATCTCCACTCCTCTCTCTGGCACTAAAAAGAAGCACAGGAAGTAGTGCTGAGTGAGGAATCTTGCAGAGACACCATTGTGGCAGGAAGCAGCCTGTCTGTGAGGCAGGACAGGAAGAGACTCAGCCTTGTAAACAGCCTCAACTTTGCTGCTCTTGACCGTCTGGGGAGATACAGAAGCTAAAAGAATTATGCACTTGCTAGCTTGTAAATGATCAGGGTTTTTCCCCCTCAAAGAGTCTTCTGCAAAAATACTATTCCAGAAAGAAATTTCCTCCTGTTATTATTAAAGAGATGTCCCCCCTCTAATTAACAACCAATGTCTCCACCCGTGCATTCTCTCCTGCTAGCCACTTCAAGAATTTATGGAACATTCCCTCTCTTTCCTTTATGTTCAATCTCTCCCATTCTCACAGATCATCTCGATGAGCATGCAAATGTCCTTTTAAAAAAAGACACATAAGAAAACCAAAATAAAATCTTCTTTCAACTCTACTTACACTATAGTGTCATTTTTACTATCTCCTTCTCTTCACAGAAAAACTTCTTGAAAAAGTTGTTTATATATAATATGTCCTTATCTCTCATTGATTCTTCATCCCTCCCTCCAATGTGGCTTCTGCCTGCTCCCCACCCCCACCCCACCAATCCTCTCTTGCTCAATCACCAAAGACATCACATGACCGAAGCCCTGGACTTTTCTGAGGCTTGATCTTACACGTTTCTATAGCATTGCCTCTTCTGACCTTTCTGTTCTTCTTGAAGGAATTTAGACCTTTGGCTCTGTGTTGTATTCCCTGGGTCTGCTCTTATGCCTAGGCATTCCCGCCTAGCCTCCCCTACTGACTGCGTTTCTTCTGTTCCATCATTAAAGGTTGTTGCTTCTTAGAACTTTGTCCCAGACCTTCTCATCTTGCTTGATTCCCTCAACATCATCCATCCACTTGCACCATTTCAAAATTACTGTCTGTATTCAACTGCTTTCAATGGCGTATCACTAGGTCACTCTCAGCGCCTAAGCTCTAGACCTACTTATCATAAAACCAACTTCCTCCTGGGCATCTCCACCTGGATGTCTCAGGGGCTCCTGAAACCCAATATGTCACAGACTCAACTCATGATCCTCCTTGCTCATCTTTCCCCAGTGAATCTCCCTGTCCCCCTAAAGTGTTCCCTTTATGCCATTGCACCAGCATCCCTTTAGGTGCTTATGCCAGAACCACGTGAACCACCAAATCTTGAATCTTACGCTCCTTAGATAGCTCTCAGATCCTTCCATTTCCATCATCGCCTCTGCCATCACCCCAGAGTCCAGGCACTGCCATATTTCCCTGGTTTCCTCCTAACTGGTCCCCTGCCAATGCCA